CTGCATTCATGATGGAGCTAACTTGTCTCGTATTAACCCAAATAACTAAATCATGAGCTTATAATAGTCTCTTCTTCCATTTACAGTGTCCAATCACTTTTACCCCTTTGTTTAATGTAAATTGTGCTGGTTTCTTAAAAAAATAGAACTTTTGGATTGTTCTATCCTCTTTTTCATCTCTAATTATTCATCTATAACCATTCTTTTTGGATAATGCAGCTTGATAGCTGCCCAGGGACTGCCATTCTATAGGACTATGGCTGTTATTTTCTGCATTGTTGCTTCATATTTTCTGCATGACTGTTCTTGTTATAAAGTGGGCTTTTGAGGATATTGATCAATAGGCGTGGTGGTGTGGTTGGGTGAGGGGGGAGAAAGGAGAGTCGGACTGGTTAAAATCCATTTCTTGTTGTTTCATAGGTGGCAGAGATTGCTTTTGTATATCTTCGAGTAGTGAAACATTTACTTTCTCCTAATTGGATATATCACAAGTTATTGTGACTCTAAACACAAGTAGCTGAAGAAATACTGTGTTATAGTCTCCTTGTTCGGTGATTGACTTCTGGACATATAGTTACGAATCTATTTGCATTTTGATTATTTGTGTTTACACTGTAGCCAGAGCAACTATTCCGTCGTGATGAGTTCAGCATTTTTAGTGAAGCTTTGGCTGCAACCCGAGCTAGAGGAGGATCAGAGTCTTTAGATCTTCAGATAGCACATGACTTATTCTCCAGGTTTCGTGCTTTGCTATTTATAGAGCAACAAAAGACTTGTATTTATCTTGGCACTAGAGATGTTATTTCTTGTTTTCGCTCATTTGTATTGACAGTTTGTCTTGTTCTTCCATTCATCTACAGTCCCAAGGACCACCACGAGTTTGCCATAGTACGAGAAAACATAAGAAGAAAACTAGAGGCAAGGAACTGGATCCCTTCCCAGAAATTTTTAGCATGCAACACTTTAATGGAACTTTGTTATCAGCACAAAGGCACAACATATATCACTTAATACTGTCTATTAGTTCTTCAGTCCTTGAAATATGACAAACGTTTTTTCCTCCCTCATTTTCTTGTAGGCTGTGTGTTCCAGTGTAGTAATTAATCCAGAGAAAGTTGTAAGAAAGCTGTCCAGGGTTCAACATCTTTATGGTCGATTTTCTGGGACATTGCGATCTGAAGATGATGAGGTAAAACCTTTTCTTTCTGCATATTTCTGTCAAAACAACTGAAGTTTAACTTTTAGATGCGGGAAACTTCTACAAGATACTGCATTTTTTTCCCTAGAATTTGTCTCTCTTGACACAGCATCCTCACTCCAGATTAGTGAGAAGTTGTAAAGGGATTCTTATATTGTTACACAAGAATAAATTTTTTGAACTGTGGTGGATCATTATTTACAAAGTCATTGTCTCCTTTCATTTCTGAAGTGCTGACTACTTTAACTTCCAGTTCACAATATTGTCTTCCCTTCACCCAACTCCAGCAGTTTGTGGCTTTCCTACTGAAGTGGCACGGGATTTTATTACAGACACTGGTATGTGGAAAGTGATACTCCAATTCAGCATGAATATTTTGTTCTCATGATCTCTGCATAATGTAGTTACAGTCCTTTTTTTGTTGTGAAGTCAACATAACTAAAACTCAAGGTCTATTAGGTCAAAAAAGGAAAAAAGAAAACAAAAAACTCAAGGTCTATCTATATGATCTATTATCACTTCTAAGATTGTAGTTGTAAGATTGCATCAAGTGGATGTGTTGAATTATATGCATTCAGATGAAAAATGTACTTATAGTACTGCACAATGTTGTGCGACTGATTTGATTGATATTGTTGGAACTCGTCATCGCCTTTTCCCTTTTACATGCTTGTGAGGTTACAAAAGATCATATTCAGATCATCTATCAGACTATTTTTGGATTCTGTTGACGTTTTCATTTAACACAATGAACAACTTGAGCTATTTTTATCTAAAACTTTGTTCTACATTGATAAATATTAGTGCAGAAAAGTTTTGAATCCTTTGAATCATGCATAGAGGATATTCATTCTGCACTTATCTTCATCCAATATTGGTTACAGCTGTTATGATTGTTCTGCAGCATAATGAACAGATCACAGGTCTGGATATTACCTTGCATCATTGTATGTGAAATAACAATTAATAACGTTTTACAGAAATGTTTGACCGAGGGATGTATGCTGGTCCTGTTGGTTTCTTTGGAGGAAGACAGAGTGAGTTTGCTGTTGGAATCAGGTCTGCTTTGATTGGAAAGGTGAGGTTAAGTAGATGCATTTACTCGAATATCATGGTCTTTTCCACAAGCACTAGTTTTGCAATCTTAGAACGTTAATTGCATGATGGTATATGAAGCCACATAACCAATGTTTAGAGGTGGCAATTTGTCCCAAGTCCCAATGGGTTACCCATGCCCATGGGGATTTTGGGCGGGATGGGTACTGAAATTTGATATTGGGTTTAAAATGGGACAAATCCCAATTGTACCCATTAATTGATGGGAAATCTTGGGAAATACTTGGGTACCCATTGGGTTCAAATAGCAAGGGCTCTGTTTGGATTAGTTATTTTTGGGAGGTGTTTTTGAAATATTTTATTGTAGTAGTGTATATGAAAAATTTTTACTATAAATTTTTTTTTTGAAATATTTGATATACTAATATGGATGGGATATTTTTTGAATTATTGTATATTACTGTAATATTGTATTTGAAAAACTTATTTTTTGAAAAAATAGCCAATCCAAACGGAGTCTTAGATTCAAAAATTATCTTTAACAATTTTTATAGTCATACCAATGAATATAATTTAGTAGTCTTCCTAGTCATTATCCACAAGAATTTCCAGCATTTCAGTCAATTTAGACCTGTCATCCTTGGACAATGATGAGGATAAATATTCAATACCCTAAATACCTTGACCATCTTGATATATGTTGGAATATGGTTGTATATCTATTTTTTCCTTTATTTGTTAATCCAATTTTTGGTGGGAATCTTGAGTATAAAGCACTTGCATGTTTATTTAATAAAACTAAAAGAAATTTAATAAATCAAAAATATTAAATTTATATAAAAAGTAAAAAATGAATTAAAGGAAAAAAAATATGTAGAAAATAGATTTGGGTATTGGGCGGGATCAATCTAAACCCATCCCAAAGTGATCCCGCCCAACTTAGTCCCAAAACACATATGGGTAAGGTTGGACCCAAACCCATATGACTCGGTTCCATCTCAAACCCAATCAAATCCCGCCCATCCCGCCCATTTTGCCACCTCTACCAATGTTAGATTGTGATTCTTCAATGACATTATGCAGTCACATAATTGACATATAAGCTGATGTGATCAATTTAAATCTAGGGCATTGGTGCACTAATTTATGCTGGACTTGGCATAGTTGAAGGAAGTGATCCAGCTCTAGAATGGGAGGAGTTGGAGCTCAAGGCATCACAGGTTCGTGCTTTATAACGACATAGTTTCTGTTTTCTGTCTATCACATTAATTGCCATGATTCAGTTGCTCGGGTAGGAGTGTTACTTGCAAAACTAAAGAAGTTGTGCAGTTAAATATTTATTTGTTCTTAAGCGATACCTGGAAGAACTACTGCCTTATATGCTCTTCACCTTTCCTGCTTTTGTTTTTGTATCCAGTTTATGAAATTGATGAAACTAGAGGTGCCCACATTGGCAACAACAGTGTAGTAGGAGGAATGAACAAACACAAGGTCAGTAGTTCCAAAACATTTGCTGCAGTCTGCAACTTCAAGCTTGTACCTGTAGTTCTTTTTTATTTTCTTGTCAAGACTCAACATTGTCAATAAAGAGCGAAACTTTATTTAACATGAACCCAGCTTATTATGTTCGCATAGGTGCATGACATTATTATATAAATGAAATTAATAACTAATATAAGTCTAATATAGAGGGCAAGGAATATTATGGAATATATTAGTACTTTAATTATAAAAAAGGGCATGTGGCCGTGTCGGGAAAATCAAAGAGCATCTATAACTATAATCTGTGCAAGTACTAAAGAGACTGTAGCTTCAGATGTGCTATGACTGAAAATTTGGCAGCTAATTAGTGCTGAATGGTTTTGATCTCATTTATTGGAAATGCAGTCAAAAGATGTAATGTATTGCATCATCACGTTGATTTACTGAACCATCTTTGACACCAACTCTTATGATGCTTGATTTAGTTATTAAGGATAGCAAGATCGTAATCCATTCTCAGGCCACACTTCCATTGTATGCTTCAACCAACGACTTCAGGCAAAAAATTAGATATTTAAACACCAAACCATTAATTCAAATACAAATAAGTAGCTCAGAAAAAAGAACTTCCCAGTACATAATGGAGATATATTTGATAAATTGGAGACATGTAAAATTAAGAGATGTGCTCTTGTGTGCAGGCATACTCTACTTATTTTTTACCTTGTTATTTCTGAGATTTTTTTTTTTACTTTTTCAGTCCAGCTGGTGGTAGATATTGGAGTTGTTAAATATTCAAAATCCTGCAAAATTTGCAGATTGCTCGGACAAAGTTTAGCATTCACTCATTTGCGTGATGATTAATGCATCATCTTCAGCATAAGCAGCTGGGCAGATTAAGGAATACTTGTTGATGTTGGATGTAGAGAAGTCTTCTCCTTTTTCTTCTTTTTTCTTTTCACTGTTATGTGGCTTCATCTAAGCTACCAAACTCTTATTGTAAGAATGCTTTAATGTCTTTCTCCAGTTATATGACATACCACAGAAGAAAAGCATTTATCCCTTGATCTTTTGCTCAAGCTTATCTGGTTAAAATGCTTCAGAATTCATTGCTTCTTGGCTGACCTCGCATGCCCTCATCTAGAAAAGGAAGGGAGTTAAACCGTCTAAAACCTAATCCAGACCCTTTTGTAGTAGAGGCAAAGAAGGAACAAAGATTGATAGATTAAGCCTGTGAAGAAGAATAACTCCATCAATGACATGCTTCAGTTTGGTGAGCTGTTGCTTGTCTGTGAAAAAGGCCAACCTGATGCTGGAAATTGAGTATCAGGTGGAATGGGAGTTGGTCAGGCGAAATTACTTGTTTTAGGGGATGGTGCTGAACTTGCCAAGTATTGGTGCAGATGGAAGCCAAGCGGTGTAATTAAATTGGGTTGTGCCAAGATGAGATCTAATTGACTCAAGTGAAACCAACAAGGCAAAATTGCACATCTATCTAAGTCCTTTGTACAACATGGTAATCTGGCCAAGTTACTAGGATCTTAAATCTGAAGGTCTTGTTTAGTCATTATACTTGGCATACTGGATTAATGAGCCAAGCTGGTATAATCAATTTAATGATTTAGTGAACTTATAGAAGCCTAGCATATGCACTTGAATTTACAGAATAAGAATACTGATGGTAATAACTGTGTCTTTTATGTTCAGGGAGGATCAGAAGGGCAATTGAGCGAAAGAAAATCCAAATTTATCTGCTTATGCAAAACAAGAAGTTCAGATAACTTTGTTCCTTTTCTTTTCTCCTTTTTTGTAAGCAGGCAACCAGACTTTTTTTTATCAAGAGTTGAAAAGCAGGGAGTACAAAGTTTCTCAAACAAGTGATCTCCATTAAATCTCTTCTTGATTCTTTTTCAGATTCCTTGCTGGCTTGTTTGGAATCATTTAGTTTATAGTACTATAGGTTTTAACATGGCCTTTTGGCAATACAATTTAGAGCTCCTGCAAAACGTGTGAGCCTATTTGCAAATTCCCCAGGCTTTGGACCGATCAAATCTGCATTGGAACCAAAATTGTGATTGGGATCTCCTGATTGAACAAAGAATGCTCCATTCATCATAAGATCTCCCTGCGATTTCCATACCCAATCTTTCCACACACTTTCTGGTGCATAGTCCCTCTTGGTCACCTGGATCACCATGGTTTGCATTAATGACAGAGAAAAAAAAAAGCTTTATATAGGTAATAGATCATACCCTTATTTTCTTGATGGTCTAAAAGATTGTACTCACCATTATAGAGGCATCTATATTATCGAGCTAGTTACCATTTAGTGGGTCCATTTGGATGATAAGTTTTTTGGATATTTATATAAAACTTTACTGTAATTTACTGCAGAGTTTGTGAAAAAACGTGTCTTCTAATAAAATCAGTATCTTAAACAGAAGTTGGCCCAATGGATGAATCGTTTTGTACGGTGTTTATATCTGTGAACATTTGATTGCTAATCAGTATCATTAATTACCTCTTTAGCATATGGATTTTCAGGAGCAATGAAGCGATTGCCTTGGCTAAGTATAGTGGGGTGTTGACTTCCTCCAATGGCATACATTAGCCAATGTGTGTAATCATTGTTCACTACATGCACGAAACCCCATCTAGCCCTTGGCATTCTTTGTTCTATTCCTTGACCAAAGTGGTTGAATGCAAGAGTTATTTGCATTATGGAATCATCTGAGTAGCTATCACTTGCACCAAAGAGCATTGCCTGTGGACAAAGAACATTAACTTTGTTAATAAGAGGGTGTATAAATATAATCAATACTACTAAGTAGCATGATGTTTCCATCCTTGTACATGAAAAGTAGGAGTCTAATGCTGTAGACATATAGATAGATAGATAGATAATTACCTCATTGTGATGAGTGAAATGGCCATTGGAGATGGTTATAGCTGTGGAAGCCTGAACAGCATCAATGAGTCCATCATTGCAATTAGACATTGAGATGTGATCGATCCAAATGTTGGTGGAACCGTAGATTGAAATGCCATCTCCATCACTTCTTGAACGAATGCCATAATGATTGACAGAGTCTCTAATCATGCCACCATTGCCAGCCTTAATGTCATGAATGTGAAGATTGTGGATGATAATGTTATGCACGAATTGCAGGGTGAATCCAGCACCATATGCAATATGGACTTGTACGCCGCGGCCATCGATCGTCTTGTTGCTGGTCATGATAAGCTCTTGGCTAAGCCTGATCACCATATTCTTGGTGAATATGACCCAAAGGGGCTCAGGCTGGATAAGGGCATGTCTTAAAGTTCCGGGCTTGGGATTGACTAGGTCATTATCAGAAGGATCAGTGACCTTATAAATCCTGCCACCTTTGCCTCCAGTTGCATGGCGGCCGAAGCCAAGAGCACAATCAGCTAGCTTCATACGATTTTTACGCCAATTTTTCTGGCATCTCCAACATTGATCAATAGGGTTTGTGGCTGTGCATGGACCATTATACTTGTGCAAGTCCCTTCTTCTGCTGTTGTGGCCATCAATGGACCTGCATGAATCAATGCATGATTTTATATTATGTTTTCAAGAAATTTCCACCAAGAAGAGAATGTAGAGAATTTAGGGAAAATCCACCTATGGACTTTCTCATTAAAATGAGAAGTGACATTTTCGGGGTTAGGATGGTAAGCTTGGCGAGCAGCCTCCTTTGCTTCTTCTGAGCGCTTCTGCCAGACCTCATCAAACTCGGCAATGTGTGCCTCAATGGTATAAACCAGAGCAATAAGAGCAAATGCTAAAATTAAGCTACTTTTCTTGAAATCCATTTTTGTGTCACTTTTTTTTTTTGTTTTTTTTTCAAATGGTTTTCTTAACCAAATTAATTTTGTAACAAGAAAGCAATAAAGGGTTTGAACATAATATGTTCAACTTTTAGGGATTAGAATACTGAGACCTCAATCGGGTTTAGGGATATGCATGAATGGAAGTAAGCCAGTCACATTGGCTGTAATGCAATTGCATTAATTTTTTTTTGTTCTCTCTTTTGAAGCTTTTAGGATTTTGCTTTAATACATTGGAATATTTGACAATGAGAAGTTGAGAGGGAAGAAAGGGGAGCCAGTGCTTTTCCGGCAATGGTCAATCTTTAGTCTATTTGCTTTGCTTTCCATATATGGACATTAATCAGAGTCAAAAAAATGACTTGTAAAGAATGTTTCTAATCAATTTGACCAGAAAGATGATTTGTTTTACAGATAACCTATATTTATATCAATAAATATAGAAAGAAAAAAAAATGTGTTAGAAGATTGGATTTGATTAATGTAGAGCATCTATGGATTAGGCTCTTCTCAATTCTCTCCATTATATTTAAACTACTTTTCAAAATCAACATCATTTACAACATATATCATCGCTTATTTCTCGATATGCACAGAAGTTTTTTTTTTTTTTTTGTGGAAAATGGATTCCAATTATATGCAAAATTTGTGATAAAAAAAATGGCCAAGTTTTTTTTCTTTTTGATTGATCATTAAAGATCTTTTTATCATTTTGACCTATTTTCACAATTTAAATATTTGGTGCAAATTTAAATGTCAAAGTATTCTCAAATGCATTTCTTTTTTTTTTTTCGTATATTGATCTATTGATAGAAAAGTAGTGAAATAATCAAACGATTTATACAGATGGTAGCTATTTGAATGTGAAAATAAGCATATAGATAATTGAAGAGAGATATAATATGAGTTTAGGTGGAACTATCTCTGACGATAGAGATAAAGTGAAATTATCCCTGCCCTCCGGGGCTTGGTCTGACGGTTGAGATTGCTGAAAATGGAGCGTTAAGTCCCTGATTCAAACCTTGCTGCCAGCAAGTTGTGGAGGGTGGGGAATAGTCTGCGGGATTCACTCCCTGCTGCGGGACACCCCTAAAAAAAAAAAAAAAACAAAAAAAAGTGAAATTACCCCTTTCTTTATCTAATTAAGCCTATTAGTACCTGTATTAACCAGTAATTCTCTTTAACATGGTTTATTTAATAGTAAGATAATTCTCTTTAGCATAGTTTGTTTAACGGATGTAATGGATCTAAACCTGTTGAAACCCAACTAACTAATCCCCAATTATTGGGCATTAACCGTAGCATATAGATTGGGTCGGGCTGGATCAAACTCGGTGGCAGGTGAATAATAAATGGAAGTCGAGTAAAGATAAAATAAATTAATTTCTAGTTTAGGTTTTTTTTAAAAAAAAATAATTGAAAAAATATTTTGGGTGTTTTTAAAATAAAGCTCATTTTCATAAAACGTTCTTCTTTTTTCTAAAATATGAAGAAATTTAACAAAACTGTTCTTTTTTTTTTTTTGTTATTGTTTGTCAAAATCTACCAACAAAAACATAAATGTTACCAAAAGGCCTCTAATTTTTTTTTTTTTGGTTCAAATTAGCGTGGACTGGACAAAAGTATTGCTGTAGAAACACAAGGGATAAGTGGAGAATAGGGTCACATGAATTTACTCATTTGAATAGCTTACTCTTTTTTCTTTTTTTTTTTACCATGTTTTTCATTTTCTTTTACAAAACAACGTTATGACAATCTAAATAATGAATTTACAAACACTTTTGCAATATTACAGACACTGTACTGTGATTTCATGGGAATCCCAAAAATGATTGTAGAGGACTCCAGAGTGCACCATTTGAAGCATGTATGGACTCAGCTGAATACTGCAGCTTACATGTTGGATTGAAAAAGGTGTACAAGTGGTATGTGAAAGTTTACCATTAGTTGTCTGAAGGTATACAATATATATAGTTTTCCATTCCATCCTATTCAAACTATCTAAGACACCCTTTTTCAAGATACGTAAGACCAGAGACTCAGGCTATTTGAGTCCTAAGCAAAGCAAAGAATAGCCTCTTCCTGTAGTTTTATGAACAATCTAACATTGCCATTTTTGTCACGGTCCAAAAGGAAAAGTTTGGAATAAGAAATCTTGCAAGAAAGGCTATTAGCTTTTGATTGACATGCTGAAACTACAGCTTAAATAGCAGCAGCATTGCTCGATCGATCCCTCCACAGAACCCCCCCTGAGAGTTTCTTGACATTCAACCATTTTTTCGGGGTGTTTTCAGTGCGCATTTTGATACAGAAGAACATGGCAAATATGTTAGGAGCAGGCGGCAGAGGAGCTGCTGCTGACAGGAGAAGCCCACATGATGTGATCTTTGAAGAGATTGTGCCTTCCTCCGGTTGGACAGAGGACAAAGATCGCCACTGTCTAATCATTGATCTTCCCGGTATATGCCAAGAATTCATCTCATTTTCTTGTACTTCTTCGCGATGAGTTAAATCCACGCCCCTCCATACAAAATAAACCCATGCCCTGCATGCACACAAATACATTATTGCTTTTATATGCAAGCCTTTAACGCATGGAACTATGAATAAGGTTTCGACTGTCCATTCAAGATGGAAGCGTTTGGATTTAGCCCCTTTTCTGTTTGTGCATGCTTGTTTCTTTGCTTGAAGGTGATGATCTAAGTTGTTTGAAGGAATACGTGTAATCTGAACATGTTGTTTTCACTATCTTATTGAAGGGTTCAAAATGGATGAGGTGAAGCTTCGAGTTGATAACTACGGGCATTTATTGGTAAGTGGAGAAAGGCAAGTGAATGGGATAAAACACATCCGGTTTCAGCAATCTTATCGAGTTCCAGACAATTCAGACATCCAGGAGGCCACTGCTAAGTTTGAAGATGAAATCCTTTACATGATCATTCCCAAGACAGCTACAGCAGAAAACGAAAGTAACCGCGAGAAAGTCACAGTACCACAAACTGATCATATACAGGAAGAGAGCCAACAGAAGAATGATTTAGACAGAGATCATCAAGTGATTGATGATGATCAAGACAAAATCGACAATCACCAGAGGACTGAGAAGGGATCGAGCGAAGATCCGAAAAAAGAAGAAGATTGTGATGGAGAGCCAGAAGAAGAATTTCATGATGCAAGGAAAGAAAGTGTGTGGAATGAGAGCAGCCTGTTGGAAACACTAAGACTGCAGTTGAAGAAGAACACAGGGATAGTTGTCACAGCAGTCTTAGCATTCTCCTTGGGGGTTTTCGTCTGTCAAAAATTCCAGACAAATCCTGAAAATTAAGACATGACTTCGAACAAGTTCCTATTGATTAAGGGCCTTGGCGCTTGATCACATAATGATGGATTTGATTCTAGCCATTCTCGTTCCCCTTGTTCTTCTTCATACCTTCCCCCATCTAAAAATTGTTACTATAAAAGTTTATAAATTCCAAAATAAAGTGTACATCTATAGTTTGAATCCTATATCTCTGATTATATTTAGCAGTATCTTAAATATATTTAATTCGGTTTGCATCTTGAGTTTAGTACTAGTTGAAAAGAGTTAGGGGATTAGGGAGGGGGAATTGAAGGAGAAGGAAGGGAAGGTGGGGAAAAGAGTCAGGTTTGCACCAGAAATAGGGAATTAAGATGGAACCAGATTCCTTTTGAAAAGAGGAAAAACAAAAACAAGCAATAATATTGCAGTGGTCTGATAGCTGATTGGATGGTACAAGGATTATCGGTGGGCTGCTGCTGCTGACCTGATTTTCCATTCATCCATGGGAGGGGAATATCCATCACATAAGCATCAATTCAAAGATGTCTTTATCCTAAAAGGATCAGATTCCATAACTAGTCACACCAATTCAGAAAAGGCGAGGAAGCAATGCATAAACATCCCTCTCAAGCTACCAGCTAAAAGAGAAAGAAGCTTCATTGACATTCGAGCCAAAAGTGCACGTTTAAAACTGCAGAAAAAACATTTTCTATAAGAAACATAGACAAGAAACAAAGGATCATGTCTCTATCTATCAATGATATTGAACAGTTACAGGAGGCACAAGCATTCAGGAAGTATTATTATTATACCAGCCAAACCTTCATTGGTTGCAGCATTTGGGACTTAGATTAGAGACACCTAAACATCAATGTATACCCTTTCCATCCACTCAAGATATTAATCAGACAGCAAAGTCAGCCAAGAGTATTAGGAGCCATAGCATAGGAAGAAACATTTTCTTTCGGGACAGATGTACCTCTTTTCGTCCTACTGCAACCAATTAATCTACAGGGTGCAAAACCTTGACTAGATTGGGAAAGCGCATCCAAGTGCCCTCAAAGACAACGAAGTTCAGGACTTTTGGTCCATTTACACTGCAAAATTCCGAAGAAATGATTAACTGTTTTAGCCTTCCACCTCCTGTATGACACCATAAGTCAGCAGGTTTTTGGGAAATCCCGATTATACCTGGGCCAAACACAATCTAATCTTGACAGCTATTATGTTGACAAAGAGTACTAGTACAGAACAAAGACTTTCAAGGGCCCTACTGAAGCAATAAAGGAGATGCTTTTATCCTCAACTTTTCTCAAAATGTGTTTGGAGCTTTTGACAAAAAGGAAGACAGAAGCTGTTGGCAGAGTAGAATAGAGGGGGTGCTAGAATCAGGCGCCTTACAGAAGCATCTTGTTGCTCTACACAAAATCTCATTTATATTACAAGAAGTCCGTTTCAAGTCTAGCTTTACACATTACCACTATGACATGAGCTATCTACAAGGCCATATCAGAGATACAGTAAGAAATAAGCTACCAGATGGAGAATATATTCCTCTGCTCTGGCCGCAGGATAATGATCAGAATTCTTGAACTGCAGAGAAAAATGATCAGAATTAGCAACCTAATACGAATTAGGAACTTCATCTGCCTTCGAATCTTTCTATTCAAACTTCGGCTCCTTTTTATTTTTTTCCCACTGTTTTGTAGAATATAAATTTTCATCTCAATTACTTCTTTAAAAAAATAAGAAACTACATACATTCTTCAAATCCAGCTCCAGGATCTTCAATACAAATCAGTTTCCATGTTAAAAATTAGGCCCTCTTCAAAACTTTGTCATCAGAATATTTTTAGTTAGGAGCTTTTTTCAGGTGTCAAGAAAAGTGGACATAGGATATCATATACCCATAAGATAATCCAAGCCCCTAACCGGTAGGTTCTGTGCAACAGATCTAAATAGTAATGATACTTTTAAATGTTGGATTTTGTGACTGTTGGAGAATAACTTCAGACAAAATCCAACTCTGCCTTCCTACAAACATTCACAGCACAAAAATAGCAGTCTTGCAAACTGCAATGCCATCCCTCCTCTTTCCTAATCACTAGTTTCATGAAATCACATTTATCGTAGTTTATTTATACACCAAATTATTCATCTACAACTCATATAAGAAAAAGGAAAACCAGTAAATGAAAAGTTGCCACCATAGAGAAGTCCACTTATTTTAGAACCCAAAAAGTAGTGTGTTAGCCAAAAAGTATAGAAACCTTCAGCAGAGAGCATGGAATCAGTCTCTCTCATACACACATACCCACACAGATCATCAAAAGAAAGCATTAGCATTCAGCAACCAGACCCCAAAAACATCCCCATCCCACCACTGTCACAGTTCCCCACCCCCTAAAAACATTCCCCAATGCCATAACAGAAAGCACCCCCCATTAAAAAAAAAAAAACCCAGAAATTAGTGGAAAAACTCACGTAGAAAGCAAAACAAAAACCATGCACAGTGACACTCACCACTGAATGCAAAAACCCTCAGTCCAAAAACTAAACACCTCCAACATCTCCTCCACTTCCACCACCACCACCTAGCACAAGGATGACACCATGACAAACTCCACGGCCCAACCGGACCAGCACCAGCCTCCGCAACCAGAACAGCCACCAAGACCCCCACAAGTTATCCGGAAACTTATCGTGGAAGTTGTGGAGGCCCGCGACCTCCTCCCGAAAGATGGCCAGGGCAGTTCAAGCCCATATGTCGTCGTGGATTTTGACGGCCAAAAGAAAAGAACTTCCACTGTCCAGAAGAACCTCAACCCTTCTTGGAACGAGACCCTCGAGTTCGTCGTCTCTGATCCTTCCACCATGGAATACGAAGAGCTCGAGATTGAGGTTTACAACGACAAGAAGCTCAGCAGCGGGAATGCAAGAAAAAACCATTTCCTCGGCCGAGTTAAAATTTACGGCAGTCAGTTTTCTAAGAGAGGTGAAGAAGGGATAATTCATTTTGCACTTGAGAAAAAAAGTGTGTTCAGTTGGATTAGAGGTGAGTTGGGGCTGAAGATTTATTACTATGATGAGCTAGAGGCCCCGCCTGAGCCACCACCTCAGGAGGAACCCCCACCGCCGGCCCCGGCGCAGACGGCGGAGGAAGACAAGAAACCGCCGGGTGTCGCTGTGATCGAGGAATTGCCCCCGATGAGGATTTTGGAGGTTCCGCTACCGACGGAGATTGCTATGGAGGTGAAAGATCAGTCCCCGCCGGTTGTTACGATTGAGGAGTCTCCTCCACAGCCACCGCCGGCCAATGCGGCTCCGCCGGAGCATGTTAGGTATGTGGAGGTGCACGTTCCGCCGGTGATGGAGTGCCCGCCGGAGGTGAGGAGGATGCAGGCCGCGGCAGTCGGGAGATGTAGCGAGAGAGTTAAGGTCGTGAGGCGACCAGCGAACGGAGATTACTCGCCGAGAGTCATTCCCGGGACCGGCGATGCATCGGAAAGGATTCCAGCATACGATCTTGTGGAGCCGATGCAGTATTTGTTCATTCGGATCGTGAAGGCCCGCAATCTGGCTCCGACTGAGAGCCCGTATTTAAATATCCAGACCTCCAGTCACTCCGTCAAGTCTAGACCCGGGTCAACCCGACCCGGAGAGCCTCCATCCAACCCGGAATGGAACCAAGTGTTTGCTCTATGCCACAATAGAGCGGAGCATTCCCGTTCAACCCTCCAAATCTCGGTCTGGGAATCCTCGTCGGAAAGGTTCCTCGGTGGCGTTTGCTTCGACCTTTCCGACGTGCCTGTGCGTGACCCACCGGATAGCCCGCTCGCTCCCCAGTGGTACCACCTTGATGGCAGCGGCCCCGGCGGAGGAGGTGATGGCCGGGACAGTGTCCCCGGCGACATTCAGCTATCGGTTTGGATAGGAACTCAGGCCGACGATGCTTTCCCGGAAGCTTGGAGCTCCGACGCCCCTCCAAACCACGTGGCTCATACGCGCTCAAAAGTATACCAATCTCCTAAGCTATGGTACTTGAGAATTACAGTGATTCAAGCTCAAGACCTCCACATTACTCCGAATTTGCCCCCGCTAACCGTCCCGGAAATTCGGATCAAAGCACAACTCGGGCTTCAGTCGGTTCGGACGCGGAGAGGGTCCATGAGCCACCATGCTCCCGCGTTTCACTGGAACGAGGACTTGATCTTTGTAGCCGGAGAGCCACTGGAAGACAACCTGATAATATTGGTAGAAGACCGGACGGGTAGAGATCCGGAAATTCTCGGGTACGTGAGGATTCCTCTAGTCTCGGTTGAGCAGCGGTTCGATGAGCGGCACGTGGCGGCGAAGTGGTTGGCGTTAGAGGGCGGACCAAATGGAGCCTACCGTGGGAGGGTACAATTGAGAATGTGCTTGGAGGGAGGGTATCACGTGCTAGATGAGGCGGCGCACGTGTGCAGCGACTTCAGGCCTACGGCGAAGCAGCTGTGGAAGCCGGCCATTGGGATTCTGGAGCTCGGGATTTTGGGCGCTCGCGGATTGCTGCCGATGAAATCCAAGGGCGGAGGGAAGGGGTCCACAGATGCTTATTGTGTTGCCAAGTATGGGAAGAAATGGGTCCGAACCCGGACCGTTACGGACAATTTTGATCCACGGTGGAATGAACAGTACACCTGGCAGGTGTATGATCCGTGCACCGTTCTAACCATCGGAGTATTTGACAACTGGCGGATGTTTGCTGACGCCGGAGAGGAGAAGCCGGATTATCATATTGGGAAAGTTCGGATTCGGATATCCACGTTGGAGGGTAATAAGGTGTACACAAATTCGTACCCGTTAATGGTTTTGTTAAGAACCGGGTTAAAGAAAATGGGTGAAATCGAGGTGGCGGTTCGATTTGCCTGTCCGTCAATGTTTCCGGATACTTGCGCGGCGTATGGGCAACCTTTGCTGCCGAGAATGCACTATCTCAGGCCACTGGCGATAGCTCAGCAGGAGGCATTACGAGCGGCGGCCACTAAATTGGTGGCGGATTGGTTGGGGCGATCGGAGCCGCCGCTCGGGCCAGAGGTGGTTCGGTATATGTTGGATGCGGACTCGCATACATGGAGCATAAGGAAAAGTAAGGCTAATTGGTTTCGGATAGTGGCCGTACTGGCTTGGGCGGTTGGGCTGGCTAAATGGTTGGATGATATCAAAAGATGGAAAAACCCGGTTACGACGATTCTAGTCCACATATTGTACTTAGTGCTAGTGTGGTACCCGGATTTAATCGTGCCGACCGGGTTCTTATACGTGTTTCTTATCGGTGTATGGTATTATCGGTTTAGGCCGAAAATACCGGCGGGCATGGATATCCGGCTTTCCCAGGCCGAGTCGGTCGACCCGGATGAGTTGGACGAGGAATTTGATACGATTCCGAGTTCAAGACCGGCCGAAATTATTAGAATGAGGTATGACCGGTTGAGGCTGCTGGCAGCAAGGGTCCAAACAGTTTTGGGAGATTTTGCAACTCAGGGTGAAAGGGTCCAAGCATTGGTGAGTTGGAGGGACCCCAGGGCCACCAAAATTTTCATAGGAGTGTGCCTTACAATTGCAGCGGTGCTCTACATGGTGCCACCAAAAATGGTGGCAGTGGCCCTTGGATTCTATTTTCTGCGGCATCCCATGTTCAGGGACCCAATGCCACCAGTCAGCTTGAATTTCTTTAGGAGGCTTCCCAGTTTATCTGACAGGTTGCTGTAGTTTTGTAGTAGATTTTTTTTTAAAAAAAAAAAAAAGAAAAAAAAACTATTTAGAAGATTAATAGAGAGAGTGGTCAATTTTTGGCGCCAGGAATTGTGGGACTGATGGAAGATCATTTGATGATTGGTGAGTGTGAAACTGTGTCTGTTTGGGCATGGGATCTGTTGAAAAGTTGATTGATTAATAACAACATGGGAAGAAGTGAAAAGTGAGGGAGGCAAGTGGGATTTGGAGCTTTTTGTTGTTTGAATTCATTGACTAACTGTTGAATTGAAATAAGGAAAAAGGGTAGGGGAAGTAATAGCCATAAAGGGTTTGGGGGGGAGTTTAGAAAAGAGGGGGCAGAGATTTGAAATGAAGGTTACTAGGGCTGTGATGATGTCCTGAAAAGCACTAACATATTGTTGTTGGTTTTGCATTTTAACATCATCAAATGTAAAACCATTCTAGTACTAGAACTTTTGCTGCAAAGTTCATAGTTTATTATTTATTTTTTAGAGCAAATTTTACTTAAAAAATTCAGTGTAACTTAATTAATTCAAATTTTTTTAGTTCTCAAACGCAATTGAACATATTTATATCTGAATTTATTAAGATTAAGTGTTGAATGGAATTATAGGTATACCAATTTTGCAACTTGCAATGCCTTTTCAAGAATCTATTGGTTAGAAACACTTTCATATCCAATTGCCCCTTCTCCTGCAACTCAATGGTTCTTGTCCATATTGACCAAAAAAAAAAAAAAAACCAATTTTGGTTCCTGTGCGTAAAATTGGGAGGCATGTTTTATTATAGAATAAATCTTATATACACTGACTGACAGACAGTGTATACACTATCATGACTAGATGCATCATCTTATGTTTAAGCTACTTGTTTTGGTGGATGGCGAATGAAAGTTAACACTAATATGATTTACTGCAAACCATCGTTCTTTAATTAGGTAGTTGTTGATCAATATGATGATGACTTTAATTGCAAATTTTGTTTTTTCTTTTAAAAAAAAGTTGAAAATTCATGAGACCTGGAAAATGAATGGGGAGGATGGAGTAATAATCGTCTGGCTTGTGGCCTGGAAAGAAAGTGGCAGTTAGGAAGAAGCTAATTTTTCAAGGGTCACTCAAAAGATGACTAAAAATAAAGGGAAATAAAGACCACCAAAAGGCAGAATTAGGGGCTTTGAGTTTCTATTTAAACGTTGATAATAACCTTCTAAGCTTTTATCATGCCACTGTGAAGTTTCAAAGATTACTAATCTCAGGTCTGTCAAATACTCAGTTTTTACTGCTTAATTGAATCTTACTGCAGCAAAATTACTTGTTCAAATGTCAATGGCGTTGCTCTCAGGCTTCATAGCCCAAGAACAAAAAAAAAAAAGCAAAATCTACCATGTAATCTGTTTCCCAATAATGCTGAATCTTGTGCAATTCTTGTGTTCTGTTTTCTCATTTTTCATCAGACTCTCAAATGCAATTTCAGCATTTTCCCTTCAGTTATTTGGTCCCCCCTGTAAATGCATGTTGGAATCTGAGCTGACAACCCTCCAAATATTGACAGATTCATAAGAGATAGTCAAGTATATGAAGATACAACACCTTGTCTGTGATTCTGCTTGTACAATCTGCAAATTTTCTTAGAAATGGAGGGGAAATTTACTTGCCTCTTCCCTTTTTTTTTCTTTTTTTTTTGGTTATTGTTTTTTCAGGCAACAACAATACATTAAGGCATGGGAGGGACTGAGGATTCAGGCAAAAATGAGTGTGCAACCAAAACTGAGGAGGACAAGCATGAAAAGAAGGAGAAATCGAAACACAAGGATGAGGATGAGAAAGGAGCAAAAAGTGAAGAGAAGGCCAAGGACAAGAAGAAAGACAAAGATAAGAAGAAGAAGGATCCTGAAGATAAGAAGGATCTGTCGAAATTAAAGCTTAAGCTTGAAAAGCTTGATGCCAAGATGCAGGCTTTAGCAATTAAAAGAGAAGAAATTGTCAAGCTTATCAGTGATGCTGAGAAAGCTGCAGCAAATCCAACTGCAGAAGCTGCCGCTCCACCTCCATCTGCTTGAACATTTCTGCGATAGTGCAAGAAATTTAAGATCAAGATCTGTAGAAATTGGAAGATCTTATCTGTTAGATGCCGGAAATTGTGCTGATATGTGTAATAGCATTAGGAAAACAATTTATTCTGAGACAAAGTTGAAAGTAGAAAGTAAGCTTGTGTATGTATCAAAAGTAGAATTTCCATACACGAACAGATGATGAAAATGCATCTAAACGTTATCCAGACTGGGATTGTAGATTATATATCTGAAAAATAAACCATGGCCTTGAGTGATGGAATTGAAAATAGAAGCAAACCTAGTTTTCACTCAGGGACCATTTAGTTGTGGCGTGAATATGATATTGCACTGATATCCAGACTGCATAAATTCTGGATTTGCTAAAGTGGATGCCATAAGGCTAGGAGGCATACCTCCTTGATCCTTCCTCATGCCCATACTTCAAGATTGTTCACACCATTTTCACATTTATATGGTATTTTTGTTGTCCTGATTAATAATAATTCATGTTAATTTACTGGATGAAAAAAAAAGAGAGAACCAGAAAATAAAAGCTGTCAGACCACCTAAATCACCATTCCAATGTAAGTATCTCTAGTACATATTGTGAGAAAGCTAAAAATCATCTTCATTGTTGAGGAAGTTGACAAAGAATGGTGGCTTAAGTATACAAATCAGAAAATTAGTCAAGCTTGTAGCAGGACTCAAGAGAAACACTAGAGCGTGTCTGAAGCAGGTGAAAGTACTATCGTTTCTACATGATTATCATGATGAATTTAATTACGACTGCAGAGAGATATGATTCTTCCTAAAATGAGTTGCTTATTCTCTTCATGTGTTTACAGAGGATGCCTAACTCGTTGACCTAAAATACTAGGAAGCTTCCTCCAATAGATGTAAATCCAGCAGGAAGTTTCCCATTTTAACAGCTTCTTTCCAATTTTCTAACATAAATTCCTTCTGAGCAAACCGGTGAAACCCCAGCATGAAAATTTTGAAGCAGCAATGGGAAGGAAGCCTGGATTTTACTCGGATATCGGAAAAGGTGCCAGAGGTAATTTCAGTAATGCTTCAACTTTCCTTCAGCTTATTCTTCAAAACAAAATATAGCAGTGAGATACAAAATTCCGTTTACATGTTTTGTTCTCATTATACTGAAGCTATAAGTTCAAGATTTCAGGTATTGGTGCAGCAGATATTGCAAAATCTTTATAGTCCTCTAATTTGTTAAGAATTTTTAAAGCAAACATAGCAGAATTCTTTATACATGAATGTAGCAATAACCTGTCAAATGTTCCTCAGGACTTCTGCACGGGTACGTGCATCAGCCACCAATTCATTATCGGCTCGGATGGTTCAACTTGAGTTTTCATCTCCTCAGTGAGAGTATGTTCCTTTGATCTACAGTTTACAGAAGCTTTAGGCTATATTTCCTGTTCAATTTTGTTTTTCCATTCCTGTGTAGCATATGTTTTCATTGTGCTTCCTCGAGCCCATCAATAACATGTCCAAGCAAGTAATGGGCAACTTTTTATGTTGTCAACTGAAATTTTGGACAAAATCCAAACTTTTTTCACTTAAACCTTGTGCTTTTTTGTAAATTGCCCAGAAATCTCTTGGATCAAGGTGCATTTTGTTGATTGATTGTATCGTTTCCCATTTGTGTTTTGTACGAGGGATTGAACTGCTTGACTAACTCATCCTTTGACGAAATTGTGCAAAGATCCTTCTTTTGTCACAAGAAGGGGGTTTTGAGTACATTTCATCCAAGTACACTGCGCAGGAATGTGAAGATATCATAGTTTTGCAGCAGCTTGTTCATATCTCAGGATCTGCACTTAGAACTAGTTTCACCAAGTTTGTTATTCTGTTTGATGAGATTTACTAACCACCTAACATGCAGCTTAAGATTACAATTTCGGATTAGATTAAAATGGAGCAGGTTTCCATATTTGTACAGTGGAAAGATCCATTCTTTCATGAACTTTTCTCCATCAAGACAAAGCAAGGAAGAGAAAATGAAAATCTAGACAACAATTATTGATAATTTTCTTTTCCTATAATCATGGTCCTCTCGTCTACTTCCTGTCATGCATCGATCCACTTTCCATCAGCTGATCTGGTCAAATGAACGGTTAACATCATCATGCTTTCAAGAAGCTATATCTGCAACATCTATAATATAACTGCACCAGATATTTGGGGTTCTGTTTGCTTCTTGTTTAAAATGAATTATGTCTCATTGTTTTGCAAGATTAACTTACTTTCAATCCCTGAATTTTCTCAATCTCTGCAGTTGACAGAATCGTACGCGGGCTAAGTGCTGCTTTTCAAGTTGTCATGCCATACCAAAGGTCGAGCATGGTGAGAGTTCCAATTTTTGACCAAAACTTCTACTTTGCACGGCTTGAATTATGACACTCTCCATGACTGGATACTTCATTCCCAGAAATCAATTAACTAAAGTGGATTTTACCTTACAGGTTGAAGTTCAGTACTTGCATGATTTCGCTGGAATTACAATGGGAGCCAGTTTGACAAGGAGTCCGGTAGTAAATTTCTCAAGTGTACTTGGGACCAGCAGCTACAACATTGGAACTGCTATTTCAGTTGATACTCTGCTCGGACAACTCTCCCAGTGGGATGCTGGTTTAAGCCTCAATACTCGCTTCCTGAGTGCTGCAGTCACATTGTAATTGTTTCTTTTTCCCATGAGGAGAGTGTGACCTTGGGGGTACTAGACAAAGTTGTGAAACATATATCTGTGTCTTGATACAGGGAAAACTAAAAGATTCTCATAGAACATTCTACAAACCAAGAAACTGTCTTGCAGTCATACTGATTGCTTCAGACAATGAACTCAAGTAGATGTTGCAGAAAGCTGATAAAAATAAGCAAAATTCTTCTCATTTTGATATTCTTGTTCTGATGCTGCAGGACTGAGATGGGTAATGTTCTGAGCGCTTCCCGTTACTCGGAGCCCCTTACATTTTGATATTCTTGTTCTGATGCTGCAGGACTGAGATGGGTAATGTTCTGAGCGCTTCCTGTTACTCGGAGCCCCTTAGAGGAACCGCAGTCGCAGCTGAGCTGACCCATAGATTTTGGCACGATCAGACTGTTTTCAGATTTGGAGGGCAGCATTCTTTAACTGAATCTACACGTTTTAAAGTTCAAGCAGGCACTGATGGAAACATTTCGGCCGCTGTTCGCCATACTTGTTTCTCAGCTGTGATCTTAACAATTGCAGGGGAATTAAACGTTAGGGCAATGAGGAGTTCTAAAATGGGCATATCTTGCTCTTTCCATCATGCATTGCTACGTCATTTTTCCTCCTCAATGGGAATTCCTTTCAGCATTGAGTTTGAGCAGTGATTGATTGATTGAAATGGAAGCATTCTTTTTCTTTTCTTATCGATGAGGAAAGAAGGTTTGTGCTTGAATGACTTTTCCCTCATATTCAAAATTGAGGTGTACTTATTTTTTTCTAATCGAAGAGAAAGAAAGTTTGACTTATCCCTCATATTCATCACGCACTCAAACATCAAACAAGCAGAGGCATTCACTTAAAGAGAAAATGAACCTTTTACTCGTCAGCAAATTTTTGTTGTACTGACCAACAAGACCTACAAGAAAGAGCTGTACAAAGAGTGAGGCCCAGTTTAAGAACCTGTCATTTCTGAGGGCGGCAGACTATGAGGCAAAATTTTCCTGCTGTTCATTGTTTTTATGGACATCTCAAGTAGAACTGTTTTTATTCACCCTAAGATTTGACAACCAACACATGCATAAACAGAGCCACAAAACGCGAGGAAACACAGCCATGAGGACAATCATCCCATAAAATTGCTAAAATCAAAGTCATCAAGCTTCACAAGCCACTGAGATGCTCTGAAAATTAAGAGTCTCCAGAGGTCAAACCTGAACAAAATCTAAAACTTGATATTAAACAGGTGGTGTAACTAGTTTTTGCTTCAAGATGAACTTGTGAGGATCACTACAGGTGCTCTGCAGAAGCCTGAAGTAGTCCATCACGAATCTGGGTTGCCACATCACGAACAGCACCAGGTCCATGGGGAATAAACACAGCAGACGACTTGGAGGCAGCGCCAATTTCTTTCATGGTATCGAAGTATTGAGTAACAAGAACCATGTCCATGACATCTTTGGCTGTTGTTCCAGGAACATTCACTGAGAAGCCAAGCACGCTGTCTCTCAAACCATCAACAATAGCCTGACGCTGGCGGGCAATACCCATACCCGAGAGGTATTTGGCCTCAGCCTCACCTTCAGCTCGCTTAATTTGTAGGATTTTCTCTGCCTCAGCCTTCTCATTAGCAGCCACCCTCAACCTAGCAGCTGCAAAGTGCATCATTGTTAACAGGAAATGGTTGTGCAAAAGAGACAAAAAGGAATGTTACTATGGTGAAACAAACCAAATAAATGTGAATTCAAATTGAAAAGGTACGGATGAAAGAGTTGACAGAGCCAATTGATGGTTCTAATTTGCAAATAAATGAAATGTGCTACTTCCACATGCCAAGTTTGCAACATAGGACTTCGAATAACATCATAGATTCAAATGACTCAGAAAAAAAACCGTAGAAATTAGCCAGAGGTTGCACTTAGATGAAAACACCCCAGAAATCACAATTAAAGTTCATCTTTTCTGTATGCAGTAACTTGTTTCCACGTAATGCATCATAAACTACCATGCAGTTCGAGCAGGCTCTAATTCTAGGCAGATGCCAGAAGGAACAGTGTGTACTATACCTGCATTGATTTCGTTCATTGCTCTCTTCACATGCTCATCTGGCTCAATGTCAACAATCAGTGTCTGAACAATTTCATATCCATAAGCAGACATAGCCTACAAGAAATTTTGCGTGAGAACAAGGCTCAACTGGGATGCTTTAATTGCCTTTGTTCATTACGATCATGAAAAACAATTTACCTTCTCAAGTTCTTCTTCAACAGCTTTGGCAATTTCATTCTTTTGCTCAAAAGCATCATCAAGATTGAGTTTGGGAACACTTGCTCTTATCACTAAATTAAGAGACAACACATACCTTTTTAGCAATGTAATATTATTATAGCTTATTTAACTTATCCAAACAAGAAGCAACATTGTCCTGGTACAAGTATAAATTTACCATCAAATACATAGGCCTGAATCTGGGTCCTAGTGTTGCTGAGCCTATAGAAAGCATCATTTGCCTTTTCCACAATAGCACGGTACTGAATTGATGCGACGACATTGACAAAAACATTGTCCTAAAAACCAGCAATGGTGAAACCAGTACTTCAGTTGA